CCCCAAATTCTCAAATCCCCAAATTCTCAACCCCCCAAATTCTCAAACCCTCAAGTTTCAAATCCCCCAAATTTCTACATCCCCAAATTTCTACATTCCCAAATTCTCAACCCCCCAAATTCTCAAACTCCCAAATTACTAATCCCCTAAATTTCAAATCCCCCAAATTCTCAAAGCCCCAACTGTCTAAATCCCAAATTCCCAAATCCCCAAATTTTCTACATTCCCAAATTCTAAATAATTACGTCTCTCATATTATTATCGATGGCAATAATAATCTTAATCTTCATATTCAAGTTAGAATGTAGCCACTCGAGAATATAGTTAAGTGCCTCGTACTCACGAAATAAGTCTCTTAATACTATTAATCCTATACTAACTCGTATCTGAGAATTAAGTAAGATCCATCTAAATCTACCAATGCTTAAAGGAGATCCTTATCGCCATTCAACTTCATTCAAATCTGATTTAAATATAGTGTGGAGTCTAGATACTTTACATGCAAAATTAAGTGACTCATTTTTGTGCCAGAACGTTGTTCCTTTATTGAATTTTTTTGTTTCATCAAGTTTATATTAAAATTGTACTTGTACATAAATTATAAGGATATATGTTTTTTATCGACTTCATTGATTTTAGTGATTTTATAGATTTTATTGATTTTATTGATTTTATTGATTTTATTGATTTTATTGATCTTATTGATCTTATTGATCTTATTGATTTTATTGATCTTATTGAACTTATTGATCTTATTGATCTTATTGGTCTTATTGATTTTATTGATCTTATTGATCTTATTGATCTATATTGATCTTATTGAGTTTATTGAAATTGTTGATTTTGTTGATCTTATTGGTTTTGTTGATCTTATTGATCTTATTGATATTGTTGATTTTATTGATCTTATTGATCTTATTGATCTTATTGGTCTTATTGATTTTATTGATCTTATTGATTTTATTGATCTTGTTGATTTTATTGATCTTATTGATCTTATTAATTTGATTGATTTTATTGATCTTATTTATTTTATTGATCTTGTTTATTTTATTGATCTTATTAATTTTATTGATTTTATTGATCTTATTTATTTTATTGATCTTATTAATTTTATTGATGTTATTGATTTTATTGCTTTCATTGATCAACAGCTGTACGAAATTATACATATACATGCATGTTCATCAACCAACTATCCAAAATCACAAAAAATCAAAATCAAAATAATTTCCCAATAAAAACTTCGAACCTTGACCCCAATAAAAATCGAGCACAGTTCAGAATTCCCACAATCAAAATCGAACAACAAATCTGCTATCATTTTCTACACACAAAAATATTCGAACGCTCTCGAGGAAAAGAGATAAAAGATAAATCGATAACGAAAAATCAGCAGAGAATGATAAAACTTCTGTCGTCACTCGACAATAATCGTCGTGATGGTCGAACATCATCCTGTGAACAGTCGATGCTATAAATCCAAGTGGCTACTCTAAATGCCGCGGATATAAACGGAGTTCACGAGAAAATCGAGAGATAAGTAAGTTCAATAATTATTGCTACTCGACGGGTCGATTCTGCCTTACAATTTGTTAATGACAAGAGACCCTCGAGGTGAAGTGTCCAGGCTTAACCGACAAGTGCTACCGAACGGAGGTTGTCAGTGTACAGCTGATAAAGCGAACCTTCGATTTTCTTCGCTATCGACACTTATGCATGCAAACATCTCGATATATGATCGAATATTCGAGTTAGGAGGTTCATTGCCTTATTTTCTTGCTACTCTGCAAGAGAATTTATGATTCTCTCGTTATATGGCCACTTTTGAGACGGTAAAAAGTCGTACGTTGTACTACAACAATTATAGAGGTTAGGTTAGGTTAAGAATAATCCATATTAGTTTAAGTAAGGTTAGAGATATTTATATTGAGGTTAGATTAAAAGTACTCAGATTAGGTTAGGTTAAATCAATGCTTTTTGCATTGGGTTAGGTTAGATTAAGACTACTTGTGTCAAGTTAGGTTAAATTAGTGTTTTTTCCACTGGGTTAGGTTAGATTAAGATTACTCACGCCAAGTTAGGTTAAATCAAGGTTTCTTACACTGGGTTAGGTTAGATTAAGACTAATCAGATTAGGTTAGGTTAAGTCAATGCTTTTTACATTGGGTTAGGATAAATTAAGACTACTCATATCAAGTTAGGTTAAATTAGTGTTTCCGCCATTGGGTTAGGTTAGATTAAGACCACTCAGATCAGGTTAGGTCAAATCAATGTTTCTTACACTGGGTTAGGTTAGATTAAGGCTACTCAGATTAGGTTAGGTTAAATCAATTTTTCTTGCATTGGGTTAGGTTAAATTAAGACTACTCATATCAAGTTAGGTTAAATCAATGTTTTTTGCATTGGGTTAGGTTGAATTAAGGCTAATTACATCAAGTTACTCAAGTTTGAGTAAAAGTAATCAAACTCCCAAATTTCTACATCCCCAAATTTCTACATTCCCAAATTCTCAAACCTCCAAATTCTTACATTCTCAAATTTCTACATCCCCAAATTCTCAAACCCCCAAATTTCTACATTCCCAAATTCCAACATCCCCGAATTGCTACGTTCCCAAATTTTAATTTCTCCGAATTCTCAAATCCCCAAATTCTCAACTTCCCCAAACTCTCAAATCCCCAAATTCTCAACTCCCCCAATCTCTCAAATACCCCAAACTCTTAAATTCCCCAATTCTCAATTTCCCCAAATTCTCAAATCCCCAAATTCTCAATTTCCCCAAACTGTCAAATCTCCAAAATTTCAACTCCCCCGAATTCCCAAATTCCCAAATTTCCAAATTCTTGCATCCCTAAATTCCCGAATTTCCCAAATTCTCCAACCCCCAAATTTCTACATTCCCAAATCCGCAACTCCCACATTTTTAATAAAGCAACGTTAGGGAATTATTGTATTGTTCACAATATTAACAATATAGATACGATACGTCCGTTCTCGCGAATAAAAAATAGCCTTTATCGACAATCACGATAAGCAGAGATTACGGGCCATATGTCGTACATGTGCTCGATCGACAGATAACTGATTGTGAGTTACACTGTCCTAGAAAATGAACGGAAGAAAGCTTCTTCTATCGTTATTATTTATGGGTCATCGAACACTGGTTCTATAGAGAAAATGATTAATTCAATTTTTATTTAAATTTTTTTCAAAATAACAGCGAAAATATAATATAAACCTTTCGATTGAATAATCAAATTAATTTATCTACAAAATTCAACAGAATTGTTAATAAAAAATAGTACAAAAGAATCAGTAAAAATTTAATGCAACAAAATAATTACACAAACTAAAATTATATCAAAATGACTGAATTTTATTTCCGGAGAATCGAGCTTCTTTTTCTGGCTAAAAAAGGAGAAAATAAATTTGCAACAACAACGATAGCCACACGAATTATCGTGCGAAGATAACGAGCCCCATTTTGTACTTTGAGCAGAATGAGAATCGTCGTGGAACTTTACGCCACGCTCAATAGAACACGTTCTTTATTTTCATTTACTTCTTTTTTATTGTTGTTACACAATCATGTGTAGAATCTATGCGTAAAAACTATTTTATGAATCGAATAATTATCTATCGTCTTATATCAATGAACTTTTTATTTTTCAATTGCTGATGGAACGACGTATAAGTTCGAACGAACATCGATGGTTCTTCACTAAAAGTCTGCTGTAACTCTATCTATCTTCGAGAGCATCGATTACTCTGTCGATCAATATGTTTCTTGATGATCATCATGCTGGACAAGGTAAGGCAATTTTTAAATCTTTTCAATTTTTAAATTAATAAGTTATGGTGTACACTATGTGCTTGAAGTAACTAGCTTATATTTTATTAAATTACTACATTTTATTTTATTAAATTTAGTTAATATTTCTTCTGAAGTACATAGTTATTTTTATTTATTTTATTTATTGGAGGAAAGGTACATTTTAATGTTGATTGATGACGTTTTTTTATTAAGTGTTTGAATATCTCTTTTTTATTGAATAAGGAACTTTTACATGAAATATAAAGTTAATATATATTTTATATGAAAAATATTGTTAAAGATAAAGTTATTATAGTTAATAGTTAAAATTATTTTTGTAACAATAAATTTGGTACATATGGAATTTTTGTATAGATTTTACCATCAAACTTTTCTATGGTAACAATATTTAAGAAAAATTCTTTACATCAAGGTAACATAGTGTACATTATGCTCAAAGTATCATAATTGACTTTATAATAATTAATTTATAATAATTGTTTCAGAAAAGATAAGGTTTCTTGTATATTAATAAAGTCTTTGTTATAATTTTTTAATTATTGATATTCATATTATTTTTTGTTTTTATATTAATGTTTAATGTTTAATAAGACATTTGTTATAAATTTTCAATTATTAATGTTTATAGTAATTTTTTTTATATGATTGCTTAATGCTCAATAATTAATTTATAATAATTGTTTCAGAAAAGATAAGGTTTCTTGTATATTAATAAAGTCTTTGTTATAATTTTTTAATTATTGATATTCATTTTCTTTTTATATGATTGCTTAATGTTTAATGTTTAATAAGACATTTGTTATAGTTTTTCAATTATTAATATTCATAGTATTTTTCTTTTTATATGGTTGCATTTTTTAATTATTGATATTCATATTATTTTTTGTTTTTATATTAATGTTTAATGTTTAATAAGACATTTGTTATAGTTTTTCAATTATTAATATTCATAGTATTTTTCTTTTTATATGATTGCTTAATGTTTAATGTTTAATAAGACATTCATTATAGTTTTTCAATTATTAATATTCATACTATTTTTCTTTTATTAATGTTTATAGCAGCAACCACTGATTATATTCTCATTAAAACAGTGTCTTCTTATGAAAAGATTTATTAACATTATTTGTACAAGCGAAATATTCGTAAAGTTAAAAGAAGTCTCAGAAAGAAAATGATTACAGATTAACATCGAACCTTAGAGGACTAAACAAGTATATACCGATCGCTAACGAAAGGCGAATAAATAACCATATTTCTTTTACAAAAAAAAAAGATAATTATATTGCACACACTCACATATGCTCACTCACACAAAGCTATTGAATAGCAACGATTCGTAAAAATATTGTTAATTAACCGTCTCAAAACGTTCCTCGGTTTCTTATCGCAATGAAAAAGAAAGGCGTAATATTTCGTCACTGCATCGCGAACTTACGAAACTATTTTTCCTCGTTTAAAAAAGGATCGATGAATATGCTTTCTTTAATTTTACCGATATTTTTCCTAAGTAAAAGGAACAAAATCGTTTCGTAAAAGTGAATCAAGTCGACGCGTTCAAGGGAGCCATTTTGGGTTCCAACTTTCGGCAGCCATCTTGCGTCGATGTTCTACTTTGTATCCTTTCTTCCCGATTTCCTGTATCGGTTACTCTTTCTGTCTGGCATCGTGGAAGAATTCTCTTTTGCGATCAGATTTTGAGATTGAGAGGCTGCGGATGTTTGAGGTTGCTTCTTCGGGGCATATTTTTCAGCCACTTCCGGTACCGGGGTTGGTTCTGGAAGAGCTGTTACTTTCACTGAAATTAATATTTTTAATTAATATTTTAAGCTACATTTTTAGCACGAAATTTCTCAAATTCTTTTTGTCTCAAAATTCTTATTTTACTGTATTGCCTCGATATAAGCAACAAGCTCGGTCCAGTCACTTATTTCGAAGATATTATGCTATTCGACTTGTTTTTTGAATCTCCATGTAAAAAAAGAATTATGATTACTGTAAATTGAGAGGTTTGACCAGTTCACTCTGAATGTTAAATAAAATATGAAAAAAGTAAAAAAAAGAAGAAAGTTATTTAATAAAATAAATGAAAATACCTGTCGATGCAGTATCGGTCGTAGAATTTATTTCTCCATTGATGAAATCCGTTGCTATGTTGCTCACTGTTTCCACTTTGGATTCTATAAAGACAAGAAATTTCTTCCATCACTTCTAACATGTTGTATACAACACACACTTCCAATCACACCAGTATGTCTTATGTTTTCAGTAGTAAATTGAAAGACAGCAGGACTTGCACTTGTACAGAAATTCACGTAAGTACTTTGTTTTCTATAACTCTATGTTGCTTTTTTATAATGAATTATACTGTGTAATATTGTTTAATTAAAAAGATTGAAAAATCTATTAATGAGGCTTTATTGTGTTATTTTTTATATGCAATAAAGTATTAGTATTGGATTTTGTTTATCGTTAATCAGGATGAAAGGCGATCGTGAAGTAAACAGTCCACGAGAACGTTTGAGCGTGTCTTTGAACGAAAATCCTCTTTATTCGAAATAATTAGTCTTGATCAAAGGTAAAGAAATGCAAATGTTTCGTCGATCGTTACTTTATCTGCCGATTGAGTGGTTCACCGAAACGATCGTTTCATTGCACAGTGGTCGTTCCGGTGAACCACTCGGCCAGCTGACAGCCGAATAACACAAGGTGTCGCTGTCCTCATCACAATCCATTGCTGACCAGTAGACCGACTCACCCGAACTGTCCACTTGTTTTGGATCCGGCGTCGCCTCCTCGGCTTGCGTTGAATTTGTTTCCTGCAATTTATACCACAAACATTGTATATAATATGCGTTACAAACATTTATGAGAACGAGTGGACATTAAGAGTGATAAACATTTATTTTTGACATTTTACTTTCTACACGCGATTGTGTTTCAAACTTGATTTTATGTTGAAGACGCACAAGGTGCGTCATAGTACTTATATAGGGTAAGACGCACCAAGTGTGTCATGTGTTGTGTCAGGTAAGACGCACCAGGTGTGTCATTAAATAAATCACGTATGGCAAACGCGGTGTATCATGAATTAAATTACATAAGACGCACTAGGTGCGTCATTACTTGTATTACATAAGACGCATACGGTGCGTCGTTGATTTTTAACATACTAACAGACATTTCATATAAAATAATAAGAATAAAAAGGGCGTACAATTTCAAGGGTAGATACCCGCCATTATATGAAAGTAAAAGGGTGCAGAAAAATCAAAAGCTGAACGATTCGAAAATTTCGAACAATTCTTCTGAACAAAAAGCAGCTGATTAAAATATCTGCACGAGAAATTCCGAAATATCTGTACGAATTTCGTAGCACGAAATAAACGATGACCAACGAGCGTTTCTATTTTAAAAAATTCCATCAGCCACAAGCATAAATCGAAGGAAAAAAATTCGATTACCCGAGACGAATAAGAGATGATTAAAACGAACGTTTATTTACATCCTGTTGAACGTCTTATCTGCACCGTTTCTCGTAATTAGACGATTAAGAGGGTCTCTCGGTTTTTTTCCTTCTTTTTCATATATCGGACATGTGTCTATATCAAGAACCGATGAACTATGCGTCCGGACTTATCTGGCCGGTTTCCATAAGCTATTAACGAGGATATACCAGTCTCGTATCGCGCCTAATTGTTTTCCTTTAATTTATCGACAAAAGTGTGCAGGAACTCGCTTCTTAGCTTGCGAGAAATTAATCGCTATGAAACATATTCCTTAAGATCAGTGGGTCTCCTGGGACACTTTGACAACAACGATTACGTTTTTTCATGATATTGATTTTGAGATTTCCCTTTGCAAAAATACAACGTACAGTATATTCAACGCTTGGCGAGTGCAACGCGTAAGAAATCAATGCGTGGTGAATGTAACGCGTGGTAAATACAAGGCGTGGCAAGTACTATGCGTGGTAGGTACAGCACGCGGTAAGCAACGCGTGATAAATTCAATGCGTGGTAAATACAACGCGT